ACTGCAGGAGACCAGATCAGGGAACTTTCCCCACTCCTGCGATCTTCAGCATGCTTCTTAGCAAGAGGCTGTCTGCCAAGGGATGTTGCCATGCGCCATTGCTGCCATCACTGTGCCTTCTTGCTCTGGCTCTCCGCCTGCATATCTGGAACAGTAGTGGATGTTCACTTCAAGATGGCACTTGGTGATGGCGCTGACTGCCAGTTGGGCCAGTGTTTAGCTTCAAACGTGACCCTTTTTACAGACCATCTGTTTTTCAAAAATTGAAATTATTGCAGATATAATCGAGTGCGTTGACACATTTTAATAGGAAGGGTTTCAGAGTGCCACAGTGCAGGTCTAACAGTTATATCTGGCCTTGCGCCTTGTTCTTTGCTAACACGGCAGTCCCGACTGTGCTGCCAGAGCAATTAATCAGCTCAGCACTTTGCTGGAGCTGTTGCATGGATTTCACTTTCACCTAAGGATTTGCTGACTTGGCTTTTTAGCTATAAAGTAACTTGACAGTGCACATTTTCAAAACAAAAGACTGAAACCTAGAATCTAAACAGGAGCATGTTTGAAAATTCAAGTGCGCTACTTCCAGATTAAAATGCATGCTGTGACTGAAATCTGTGTAGCCATTGAAATTACTATTCATGGAATCACAAATCATAGGGATGGGAAGGGACCTCTGGAGATCACCTGGTCCAGATCCCTGCTGAAGCAGGTTCCCCTGAGAACTTTGGACTTCCACTTTCAAAATACGACATTACTTCAGCTTTTAAAATTGGACTATAAAAATTTGATGTTTTAATTTATAACCTAATGATTTTATATAACTGTTATTTACTCATCTGTCCTGGCCTCTTCTTGTATCTGAGTTACTTAGTTTTCGTTCTTTGTTCACATGGGTCAGACAGACAAAAATGGTGCTGGGAGCCATTGGATATGAAGCATGCTCAACCTTTCAATCAAGATAATCTGCAGACCACCAAATGCTGTCTTTATTTAAGTACACTGTATTGTACATTGTGAAAGTCACAATGGGGTTGGGGAAACAACATCTGCCCTAATGTGTGTGAATCATATAATAACAGAATCATTAAGGTTGGAATAGACTCCTAAGATCTTGTTTGTATTCCTATTTCCAGAACTATGAGAAAGATGTGTGCTTTGGAAAAGTCATAGAATGATAGAATCATTAAGGCTGGAAAGACCACAAAGATCACAAAGTCAAAGATCAGCAGCCCATTTATCCCCAACGTGCCCACTAAACACATCCCTCAGTGCCACATCCACACAGTTCTTGAACACCTCCAGGGCCAGTGACTCCACCACCTGCCTGGGCAGCCTGTGCCACTGCCTCACCACTCTTTCTGAGTTGAATTTTTTCTTAATATCCAACCTGAATTTCCCCTGATGCAACATGTGGACATTGCTTTTTGTCCTATCACTGTTACATGGATGAAGAGGCCACTCATCCCTAATGTGACTTAACATGTATTCTAAGAGGATCTGTTCCATGATCTTCCCAGGCAAAGAGGTGAGGCTCACTGTCCTGTAGTTCCACAGGTCCTCCTTCCTCCCTTTCTTGTAAATGGGAGTGACATTTCCATTTTTCCAGTCCCCAGGGACCTCACTAGAGGGCCACAACCAGAGAGCATATGATGTAGAGTGGCTCAGCAACCATATCAGCCTGCTCACTTAGAGCCCCAGGGTGAATGTCATCTGGCCCCATAGGCTTGTATATGTTCACTCTTATGAGGCAGTCTCAGACTTGCTCTGCCCTTACAGCAGGAGGGGGATTTACTCCCCCAGTTCCCACCTAGAAGTTCAGGGATGCGAGCTTCAGGAATGTGAGAAATATGAGAATCCTGTCTGCCAGTGAAGACCAAGGCAAAAAATTCATTTCATACCTCAGCCTTCTCCATGTCTGTTGTAGCCAGTTCTCTTATTTACCAAAGGAGGTACGCTCTCTTTGTGTACCTCTTCTGACCATTTTACTTATAGAATCCCTTCTTGTGGCTCTTAACATCCCTCTCCAGTTCCTTGGTTTTCCTAATCCCCTCTCTGCAAGACCAGACACCATCCCTGTATTCTACGCAGGTGACGTGCCTGATGCCATAGGCCTTCTTGGCCATCTGAGCATTATGCTGGCCCATGTTCTGCTGGCTGTAGTGTTGTATGAGTCTGTTGTGACTGAAGTGCAGGACACTTGGTCTTCTTAAAGCTTATAGGTTCATGCCATTGAACCCACTGATCCAGCCTTTCCAGACTCCTCTGAGGGCCCTTTCTACCCTCGTGCAGACTGACAGTTCCTCCCAACTTGTCATCATCTACAGACATACTGAGGGTGCATTGCATGCTTGCCACATGGACACATTCCTGCCTTTCTCCTTGCCTTTCCATAGATGCATGGCATTTGTCGTTCAGTTGTGCCGCCTGGGTTCTACTGGCCTCATGAATGTAACCATGCTGAGCATGCTTGGGGAGCAGCCATGCCTCTTTCCTGCCTGGCACTGGGGTATGCAGATGCTGGAAAACTGCTGTGCAGCTGCTGCTCTGTGGAGATTGAGATGCAGAGCAGGTGCTCAGCATTTTTCTGCCATGTTACCTCTTAAACAAATACATGTCACAAACCCTTCTGACAGCTGCTTGTAAAAGCAGAATCCCTGCTGCCAGGCATGTTGAGTTCCTCTCATTTTCCTGTCAGTTTCTCATTACAGGGATTCACGGAAATTGAACAAGAAGAAGTCACAATCAGTCATGTCTAGAATGTCTAGAATATACCCTGAGACTGTTACGCATGCACCCTTGGTATATTTTTTAAACACATGGAACAAGACTCCAAGGAAAGTGTTTGCAAGTTTTCCCCCCTGGCTTTATGGTGTTCAAATACTATAAAAACTGCTCGTATGTGGGCCTAACTCTCCTCCCTACACACACCCTGGGGGTGAGCTGGGTGTGTTGCTCCTGCCCTCTGCCTGCCCCGCTGCAGTCATGAGGTGCACTCATTAATGACAAATCTCTGGCACTGCTTGGAAAGGAAGGAATGCTACTGTACAGTCCTCTTGGAAGAGTGCCTTGCCTTGCATCTGAAGTTGCTTGTGGACATAACTACAAAGTAGTTATGAAGCTCTTCATACTTAAGATTTTGTGCTCTTCAACATCTTTATCAACAACCTAGATAGTGGGATCAAGTGCTCCCTCAGCAAGTTTGCTGAAGGTGGAGTTGACACAATAGCAGGAAGGGCCAACATACAAAGGGACGTGGACAGGCTCAAAAAATGAGCTCACGGGAACCCACTGAGGTTCAACAAGGGGTGGAGCAAAGTGCTGCACCTGGATCAGGGCAATTTTAGATATGTGTACAGACTGTGAGAAGAACTCCTTGAGAGCAGCTCCATGGTGAAGTATCTGAGGTTTCTGGTAAATGAAAAACTGGACATGAGCCAGCAGTGTCTGCTTGTAGCCCAGAAGGCCAACAGTATCATGGGCTGCACAGAAGAGGGGTAGCAGCAGGGAGAGGGAGGGGATTGTCCTCATCTACTCTGCCCTTGTGAAGCCCCATCTGCAGTACTGCATCCAGGCCTGGGGCCCCCAGAACAAGAAACGTGGAACTGCTGGAGTGTGTCCAGAGGAGGGCCATGAAGAATACCAAAGGGCTAGAGCACCACTCCTTTGAAACAAGGCTGCAGGAGCCAAGCTTGTTCTGCCTGGAGAAAACTCCAGGGAGACCTCATTACAACCTTCCAGTACTTGAAAGATGCTTACAAGTAGGACAGGGAACAACTTTTGTGTGGTCTGATAGAGATAGGATGAGGTGAAATGGTTTTAAACTAAAAGAAGGGAACTTTAGATGAGATATTAGGAGTAAATCCTTTACTCAGAGTGGTGAGGCCCTGCCACAGCTGCCCAGAGAAGCTGTGGTGCCCCATCCCTGGAGGTGCTCAAGGCCAGGTAGGGTGGGGCCCTGGGCAGCTGAGCTGGTGGAGGGCAGCCCTGTCAAGGGCATGGGGTTGGGTAGTCTTTAAGGGCCCTTCCAATCCAAGCCATTCTATGACTCTTTGATCCTATTATTTTAAAGTAAGTGACTTGAAAGCCTGCCAAAAATTTGTTTAAAAGTATATGTTTTTGTTCCTCTGAATTCTTGAGTTATGCTGAAAAATTGAGTGTGGTCTACGGCCACCTGCTCCTGGATGCACTCACTTCTGTGGCTGCTGTTTTACCTCACATTCAGCTGAAGAGATACATGCTGCATTTATTTTCCTGCAGTGGGCAAAGTGGGAAAAGGTGAAGTGGGGGTTGAAAACAGCAGGTTGGGACACCTGGGTGAGCATCATGGCTGCAGTGGCCATGGTTCCTCCTCCACTGAGAGCAGAGGATGAGAGCACTACCAGCCAGAGTGCAGTGCAAGGCCGAGGACTGGTGTATAGCCCTTTGCTGGCTGGGGCTTTTGGGTGGCACTACAGGATAAATGTTTGCTATCTTTGGTAGTACTGAGCATATCTGTAGAGAGAAAAAGGAAAACAAGGATGCTGCAGCAGTCACAGAGAGTAACCTTCATCTTATAGTGGCAAAGGTTGCATGGCTCAGTAGTCATCCTGTTTAAACATTGACTTGAATGATGAGGTTTTTAAATTAGAAGGCCTCAGTGCGCTGTTCCAGGCTGAACTTCCTTCACCTCTACTATTCTGAAATCCTGTTTATAGCAAGAGGGGCATGCAGGGCTGATAGCTGTTCAATCAGCCTTCACTTCAGGCATTGACTTTCAGGCACTCTGTTTTGCAAGATTAATATCCTCTTAATAAAAGTAACCCTGTATGCATTCACCTCTGCTTGCATGCAGATATCTGAGGGCAAGTTAAAAATGGCTTTGCTAGTGTTACTGGCAGCTTTATATATACATACATATATCTTAAAATAGGACAAAAAGTAGTAACAAGAGTAACTGCTCTGGAGTTGCAGAAGACACACTCTGCTGGCTGACACTTGCTTTGTCTGTGCTTTGCCTGCAGTGGCTGAGGAACCCGGGTCCCCAGCATGAGAAGCGGACTCTCTTCGGAGACATGGTGTGTTTCCTGTTCATCACTCCACTGGCAACTGTCTCTGGCTGGCTGTGCCTGCGGGGAGCTGTGGACCACCTGCACTTCAGCAGTAGGCTTGAAGCTGTCGGCCTCATTGCACTCACTGTTGCACTCTTCACCATTTACCTCTTTTGGACCTTAGTGAGTATGGGTATGGGACAAAGAGTGGAGCAGGAAGTTAATTACACCTCTACCACTCTAGAGTGCTGTAGAGTGGGTGAAGCATTGCATAAAGCATTGTTTACATTCAGAAATCTCTTCATTCCATGTCTGTTAAGTTCTTGGAAATTCTGAAAGATGCAGTGCATTTGAGGTCTGCACTTCTCAAATCCCAAACTCTGGGCAGGATAGTGAGAGGGAGAGAGGAAGCAATGAGGAGGAATTCAAAGCAGGTGCTGCAGCATGGTGATACCATCACAGAAGGCTACAAGGTTGGTTGAGCACAATTTTTGCTTGGTGAATCCATGCTGACTATTCCTGATGACCTTTTTCTCTTTCAATTGCTTGAGATGGCATCCAGAACAAGCTGTTCCATCACCTTTCCAGGGACAGAGGTAAGACCAAATGGCCTGTAGTTTCCCAAGATCCTCTTTCTTGCCCTTCTTGAAGACCAGAGGGACACTGGCTATCCTCCAGTCTCTGGCACCTCTCCTGCTCTCCAAGACCTGCCAAAGATAATAGAGAGCAGTTGAGCCATCACTTCTGCCAGTTTCCTCAGCACACATGGATGCATCTCATCAGGGCCCATGGATTTGTGCACATTGATTCCACCTAGACACTGCTGGGCCATCTCCTCCTCAATCAGAGGGAAGCTCTCAATTTCCTGGACTCTCTCTTCCCTCCAGAGTCCAGGAGTTCTGAGGGAGTGTCTTTGAAGCAAAGACGGCATTCAGCATTTCCACCTTCTCAGCATCTCCCATACCAGACACCTCCCTCATTCAGCAGGGGATCAACATTATCCCTAGTCTTCCTTTTACTGTTAACATACTTTAAAAAAAAAACAAAAACCTTGTTATCCTTTGTCTCATTTGCCAGCTTCAGCTCCAGGTGAGCTTTAGCTTTCCATGTTGCTTTCTTACAGGCCCTGACAACACTCCTTTACTCCTCCCAAGAGGCCAGGACCTTTCTCCACATTCCATAAACCTTCTTCTTCCCTTTGATCTTATCCATGAGCTCCTTGCTCATCCAGACAGGTCTCCTGATTTCCTACTCTTAGGGTTGCACCAATCTTGAGCTTGGAAGAAGTGCTGTTTAAATGCTGCCCAGCTCCCACAAGTGCCTTTACCTTCAAGAGATGAGATGCCCAAGAGATACCTCCAAGTAGGTTCAGGAAAAGGTCAAAGTTGGCTCTCTGAAAGTCCAGAGTAGCAATCCTACTTTTTGCCTTACTTCTTCCACACAAGATCTTGAACTCCACCATCTCATGATGGCTACATCCCAAGCTGCCCTCAACCTTCACATTCCTAAAAAGCCCACCCCTGTTGAAAAGAACAAAATCCAGAAGAACCCCCTGCCTTGTTGGCTCCTCCACCACCTGTGTCAGAAAATTATCTTCAACGCACTGCAGGAACCAACGGGACTGCACATGCCTGGCCATGTTGCTTACCTAACAAATATCTGGATGATTAAATATATAGATGGTTCTCCACCATGAGAACCAGCACATGGGATTGTGAGGCTACTTCCAGCTACAACATAGACTTCATCTTTCTGATCTGGTGACCTGTAGCACACCCCCACAATGATGCCAGCCATCCCAGCCCACCCGTTAATTCTCACCCACAAGCTCTCCACACGTTCTTTCTCCCTCCCAGATGGAGCTCATTACATTCTAGTTGATCCCTCATATAAAGGGCAACTTCACCTTCACTTCCCAAACCTGTCTTTCCAAAAAAGGTTGTAGCCTCCACGACAGCATTCCAGTCATGCGAGCTGTCCCACCACATCCCTGTGACTGCAGTGAGATCACAGCCCTGCAACTGCACACAGATCTCCAGCTCATCCTGTTTACTTCCCACGACGCATGCATTCATATACAGGCAGGTAAGGGAAGCAGCAGGTGCGGTTAACCCTGGAGGGACACAAGAAGATTTTGGATGTAGTACTGGCACTATGACCTTCTCTGAGGAGTCCTTGCACGATCCTACGGGACAGCTCGAGGTTCTTCCTGGCAATCTTCAACAGTGACAACATCCTTCAGCTCCAATCTGTCTCCCTCAGAGATTCCCGGGAGCCCCTCAGGCTGCTGATTTCTTGCGGCAGTCCGGCCATCTGCTCAAGCATCTCCTTGAACAGGGCACACCTGCAGCCATGACAGCCCTCTCCTGCCTCAGGACCTGGGGAGACCTCCAGATTACGGAGCTCTCCACAGTCAGTATTTTGGACTGCCGCCTCATCCCACGGGTTGTCCACCTGGGTGCACGCATGAGCCCACAGAGGCTGCGTCCCCTCAGTCTGTGTTGCTGCCTGAGCCCGACTGCTGCGGCGGCTCCTCACCGCGATGACGAAAGAGGCGGTAACGCCCTTGAGTTCCTAGAGGAGGAGTGAAGAAAGAGAGGAGGCTCCTTCCGGCCGTCCCACCCTGCCCCGCGCGACTTGCCGGCGCTAGCTGACGAGATCACCCCGATCGCGCGTCCTGTCCGCGGCCTTCGAGGGTCGCGGCGCTCCCTGAGGGCAGTTTTTATACAGGCGGGGGTTGACTGCCCTCACTCCCGGCTCTGCCCACACAGCGTCGGCGTCCGCGGCGGCACAAGCGCGGCTCCTTCCCGCCGCGCTGACCGGATGGCTGTGCGCGGCGGGTCGAGCGGCGATTTTGAGGATTGATTCTGATTTACCTCTTTGCCAGGATCTCTCGTTGCAGTCGTTACACGCAAAGTCTTCCCTAAAATGGATTTTAAATTTCCTCTTGTCCTGTCATGACGGACTCTGCTAAAGTGTCTGTCCCCTTCTTCCTTGTAGCCCCCTTTTTGATACTGAAAAGGCCATCACTTCTCCCTGAAGCCTTCCCTTCTCCAGGCTGAACAGCCTCAGCTCTCTCCTCCTAGGAGAGGTGTTCCATCCCTTGGATCATTTTTGTGGCCCTCCTCTGGATGCACTCCCAACAGGTCCATGCTTCCTGTACTGAGGACTCCACACCTGGATGCAGTACTCCAGGTGAGGCCTCACCAGCACAAAGCAGAGGAGCAGGATCACCTCCGTTGCCTTTGCTGGCCGTGCTTCTTTTGCTGCAGCCCAGGATACAGTTGGCTTTCTGGACTGTGAGGGCCCATTGCTGGCTCGTGTTCAATTGCTATCTACCAAGTCTTTTCAGCAGGGCTGTGCTCAGGTTCTACTTACCCAGGTTCTACTGGTAGTGGGGATTGCCATGACCCAGTTGCAGACCGTACACTTGGCTTTGTTGAATTTCATGAGGTTCTCCTGGGCCACTGCTCAAGCCCATCTGAGTTTCTGGATTGCATGCCTCGAGCAAATAATAATTTCATTTAATTGCTTGTGATATGTGGACACATCTGACCTTGCTCATTAAGATTTCAGGAGCATCTCAGATGTAAGCTAGCAACATCTACTGCCACTGCTTTGACAGGGATGAAAAATCACCTCTAATTCACTTTAGAATGTTTCTCCTTTCAGAATCCTGCAGAGAAATGTATGCACCCTTTAGAAGTTACCTAGCGCTTGGAGAGTATGCTAAGAGTGATCTTGATATAAAGGCACACCTCAACTGGTTTAACCGAGGCACAACATCTTTAATGCCCACTGAGGTGTGCAAGATGTAATTGAATCAGAGCCATCGCACAGCCCAGCAGGAGATGGATGGGCAGTGAAGCGCTGCATCCATCGAGCAGGCGCAGGCACCCCACCCTGCCTTTGTGGGGTGCATGGACCTCCTGCTCAGCACCCAGTCAGCTGAGTGGTGGAGCGGTGGAGCAGGACGCGGTGGGGAGGATGCTCAGGCGCTGTCCACAGTACTGAAGGTGCCCTCATTTCCCTCTCAGCATTAGTGCTGGAAGAGTTCTGAGGAGATTTATGTGTGTCTGTAGATTAACTCATCAAGCTCAAGTGGTGGTGTATTCATGCACCTCGTCAGAAGGCAGATTTATGAAAGCAAGGTAGAGATTTACAGCAGCTACCTTACAACTGGCAGAGGGCACACTCCACCTGTGTGCTCAGCAGCCTGAGGTGCAGTGCTCCTGCAGGAAAGCTTCACCCGTGTTTGCCCAGATGTGTGCCAGATGTGCAGACCACCCTTCAGTTCTCAGTGCTGAGGAGATGGGAGAATCCAGTTCCGCTTGCTTAGTTATGGCTATGATGAGAGCTACTGGGTAAATTACACATGACCTGTGATATAACGCTTCTCTAGGTCCTGAGAAAATTAAGAAAACTAATATTTAATTTTATTTCCCATAAATCAGCTTATTATCTTGTAGACAAAAGCTGGCACGTAGGTCATTTAAGCACCACAGTATCCCAGTGAACAGAAAATGGGGGAGGTTATTTTTAGCGCCCAAGAAGCTGTCTGATCCCTTCCACTGAAAGGGAGGCCACAGCCAAGTCCTCCATAAAATGCTATTACCTTTCCTCAGTTAATTACTGCAACTGATCTATGCCTCCCAACACACACCCCAAAGAAAGAAAAGTCCTGCTCTGCCCAAGATGAAAAAAACTGATTTCTGTTTAAGGATTCAGGGCCACACTCTGCCTCTCCATGCCAACCTTTGGCCAACCTTTCTATGAGACTAAGGAGAAGACTGGGTGCAAGAGGATTGGCCATGTAGATTCCAGTGTAATGTAACTGCTGGTTAAACACCAAGGGTAGCCTAAATGAACCCAAATTAGAAAGACAAATGCTTCCCCTGCCTATAGTATTGAGGAGGTGAACAAAGAACCTCTGTGTGGCAATGCTCAATGTAGGAACATATATTGTTGGTGCAGTGTCTGAGTTCCACCCCAGAGTAGCAGCACTGGGCTAGGAGCACTGGTCTGGATGCTCTTAATGAAATTGAGCAACTGACATCACAGGGAAACCACCTCAAGGCAAGAGCCTGCTGAACCACAATATTCTGTGAAATGCTGTAAGCAGACAAGCAATTAAAGCCTGGAGTAACGATCTTGCTCTTTCTCAAAGAATCACATATCATGCTATAGGAGAACTCAGCCTGAACTCCTCTCAGTTATCTGAGACAGTCACAGCACTCTGCATAGCATTCATCTTTGTAGAGGGTTTTTGTTTTTTTTTTTTTTTTTTTTAATTACTTCCTCTCTCTCTCTCTCTACCACATTATTTCTGCTGATACTACAGTGACTACAGTGACATTTTAAAAGAGATTTCTCATATTCTTACATATGGGCTGTTCCTATATGAGGTGAAGACACAGACTGCTTTACCTTCAGGGGAGCAGAGGAGATGGAGAAGTGGGGAATTAATTCATCTGTGGGAAGAGCTGTCCTTGGGTAACTGCTCAGCAAGCAAAAGCTCTGTTGGTTTCCCTCAGGATAAGAACCTAATAAAAAAAATACTTTTTTTTTTCTTTTTTTTTGGTTCCTGTATGATTTTACACAATGGAAAATTATTTATTTAGCTAAAAACACTCTTTTGCAACTAAAAGGGTTTTGAAGGATACATTCATAGGCATGTAGATTGCTAGTGCAGAAGCACTATGCTATGTAGCCATCCACACCACCAGCACTGCATGTCAGGGAACCAGATGCAGTATCTGCATAGTACTCTCTGCCGTCTGAATGGCAGTGACCAACTGAAGTGGCACAAGTGCATAAAAATCAATGACAAATGACAAGTTGTGTGTGAAAACTGCATAGCACTTCTGTGCTTGCTGCTTGGGTCCCTTCCTGCCTGCAGCTTGGGAGCATCATCTTGTCAATTGGCACACCTCATCTAACAAGCTCAAGGCCAACTAACTGGTGTTTGACATAGTTGTGTAAGTACAGCACTGCATACAGACCTAACTCGTGCACTTGGCTGTTGCTAAAATAACCAGTAGACTACTTTCAGCTATCTATACAGTATATCTTCACAGCAGTCATTTCCCTTCCACTATTAGCAGGCTGCACTGAGTTTGAAATTGGTTACCTGAGACCAGTAAAAAAAAATTCAAAAGACAACCCTGTTGAGACACTGATTCTGAGACAGGGCATGCTGGAAGTCAGTCACACTCACCTCGTGGTACCTATGCAATCCTGAATTCAATACTTTTAGCAACAAAGCATTACAAGATGGAACATAAGGCTGTTAGTGTCTGCACACAAGCCTTCTCCATCCAGTCAGCTACAGAAATCATCAGCTTAACAACCTCAAACCCAAATTCATCTAGTTATAAATGGCTACTACCTCTTGGGATAGACAGGCAGGATGTCTAGTTTTTCATTTCATTAGAAGGGAATGAGAACTGCACAGCAGCAGAAAGCAGGGCACGAACTGGTCTTCTCCTCTGCTGCAGAAGCTTGGGGAACAAGCCCCCTATCCATACAGTTTCATATATGTCAATTTCATCCTACCTAGTGAGGCTGCTTATAGGCTTTCTGTCCCACTTGAAGGTGTGTTCCCCAACCCCTCACCAATTCCTTAGAGGAATGAAGTGATTCTGAATGCACCTGTCTCCTTTCTCGGCAGGTATCATTTAGGTATCACTGTAGATTATACAACGAATGGCGTCGGGCCAACCAGCGGGTGATACTCCTTGCCCCCAAGTCTGCCAACATTCCCTCCAACCAGCAGTCCCTGCTGGGCCTGCCATCAGTCAAAAGGAACTCAAAGGAGACAATCGTTTGATTTGGGCCATTCTGCTCTGAGGCTGTGCACTAAGGACATTTGCCTCAAACTCAATATGCTCAAACACCATGCAGAACCCAGCAGTGTGCTATCCTGATGCACAAACTCTTCATGAAGAAGGAAATTGCTATCTGAATTCAAATGCTGGACGCTGCAGTCCTATTTGCAAAGCTACCAAATGTGTTTATTTAGCAGATACTGTGTGGAAGCTGGTGTTAATATTTGCATCATCAAGTGATGCAAACTTTTCTATTATTGTTTAAAATAAACTGAAAATTAACGATGCAAAACAGATGTAGAGTGCTTTGTTTTTATTGTTCTGTTCCTACAGTAGTATGGCTTAGGAAGGCAGAGAGTAACCAGTACTTTATTTTTTTTCCTGAATCACATCAACAGCACTGCATGATTTTTTTTTTTTCCCCAATTAATTTTATTTAACAGATTCCAGCATTTTGGATTATTAAAATACTTCTGTGTGATGAATTCTACATGCCAGCATGTTACTTAAACATGATGTAGTGAGTGGAAGACTTACCCATTTCTTGTTTTACAGGGAAGTTGCCCGTAAGAAAATTTTTCAGGAATATATTTAGAATACATAGAAGAACAAAGTGACACTTGCACTAACCTTCCTATTTTGAAGTATTCTATTAAATAATTCAACAAAACTCAGGGAACAAAAACTGTACTTTTTTCCCCTCAGAAGCATCAAATGAGGCATTGCATTCTGTACTACAATTGTGCCAGTGAGTATTCCAGTTAGCCAACCTGCTGTTTACATCAAGCTGAATTTAATCCTAATTGTATAAATTAATTTTGCAAGGCAAACTCCACATACGTAATGAATGAGATCATTAGAGATGTCTCAGGAAGCAGGAACTCATCTTGAATGACAATGAGCATGTCTTGAAAGCCTGCAGAGTCTTCAGTTCACCAGGTAGGATTCAGCAGTTGATGTAAACCCTGGCCTCTCATAGCAGTGACAGTGGCTTTTCTAAAATGTGTAAAACAACCTACAGTGGTAACTGAACTGTATTTGGAGTCTGAACACTAGATTGTATTGTTGAATGGCATTACCTGTTTCCCATTTGGTTTCCAATTCACTCAGCAACTCTGTGCTCTTAGAGACCAAACACTTACATAGACTTTTTTTTTAAAACAAGAAATAATGAAATATTTCATTAACAAATTCTGCTAGAATTAGAAATTGATGCATAGTTTCTTGAATATACACATTTCTAAATGTAGATAGTAATGCCACTATGTGCATTGTTTTTCAAACTCTGCAGTGATAATAAAAGGAACACATAATAAGTAGTTCACTATCAGAAGAGCTTAGGGCTGTGCTTTAGGGAGAGATGAACTTAGTACACCAAGACAAATCCATTAACATAACTATAGCTAGACTTGTCCAAATAATTCCATAAAGAAACTGCTTATCAATACTTCTTCAAGCTGTCAATTTCATAGTATAAAAATAGTCAGTTATTTGAACAATAAATCTCAATTTTATTCAGACATAAAACTGTAGTTTCACACCAAGAAACAACTCTTCATGTGAGAAAGTTATGAACCTACAGATCTGTATCCTTTAATTTGACTGTAAGGTCAGGATTTGATCATATATTTGGCAATGGATACCTGCTTGTCTTCCAGAACAAAACTGTAGAAGAAATATTCAAAATTCTGAAGAAGTGTATAGAAAAGTGTGACTGCTTAAAATGTATTATTACCATATCTCTACAGAACAGTAACTATCTGGGTAGAAGATTGAAAATGATATAAGGAGAATGTTCCAGGTTAAAAGAAAACCCGGAAGTGTGCCCATGAAAAAGTTCAGTCAGAGGCTTTTTTTGTTTGTTTGTTTTATAAAACAAAAAATTGGGCCGATTTGGAATTCCAGTAGTAACAAGGAAAACAGTAATTCAAATCGAGCTGCAAGTTGATCTGCACACAGACCAACAGAGAAACTTGAAACAGACGGCCTTTGTTAGATCAAGTTTCATTTCTAGTTTCAAGAAAGTTATTTAAGCAGAAGGCATTCTGAAGCAACCAGAGAAAGCACGATACATTGCTACATTAGTTTCTGTATGTCACAAGCAAGCAGGGCAGAAATGGTAGGCAAAGACACTACTGGTTGTCTGCCAGGGATTTTCTTGAGAAAAACAACAAAGACCAGACACACATCTAGCCTTTTCCACTAAACCTGTGGAAATACTATGCACTTCATATTAATCCTTGTACTTCCATAAAGTACAAAGAAGGTGGGTGATGTTAACATCTTATTCACACTTTTGAAGTGCAGTAAGACTTGTAGTCAAAAGGCTTTCCTGAAGCTTTTCTGCCATTGTTGCCACATCAAATCCAAATTCCCATTAACAATTTCAAAACTGGATTTCAGCAGATATATTCTACAGCAGTAGCAATACATTTATTGATTAGATATAGCAAGCGTATCTACAGCTACCCGGAACTCCCAGCTGTACAATAGTGTCTGTTAAGCAAAAATACAGGTTAACTAATAATTCAGGAGGTTGTTTTTAATAGGATGTCACTCTTTTCTTCTTAGCAAGGTTCTTCTTTCCTCTCATGCAGCTGGCCTTGCTGCTTATGCTCCTTTTCCATGAAAAAGGTCATAGAGGTAGTACATTCAAATCAGTATTTTGAGCCAAAAGGGATAAAAACCAGCAACTTAAGTAATCAAAAACAAAACAATCAAGAACCCATCTCTAATGATTCACACAACGTTGATCCATTCCTTCCTTTCACACCCTGTCTGCCGATGATAGACCACCATCCCTGTATATACCACTAAGCTCAGTCTATTACAATTCAGTATGAGTACAGTGCAAAATGTCAGGTTTTTCCTTCTGTGCAACCTTTTCCCTGCAAGCCTGATTTATCACCGAAACAACAAAAAAGACAAAATTAAGGTGAGATTAAAGAAGTAGTGTGTGACAAAATTATGAAACTGAAAAGGGAAGAGGTTCAACAACAGGCAGCTATGTAACCTCACTCATGCCGAGGACAGTGACACAGTGAGAGCAACAGTATACACTGTAGGCAGGAGAGAATATATGCACTGGGTAGCAGAAATTTATATATATGACTATACCACTCTTGTAATGAAGTTTTAGAAATACCACAGCCTTTTGCATGGACACCACAGCATAAGTAGGATTAATGAGCCCTCAGGTTTTTTTTGTTTTGTTTTGTTTTTATCTTGGCTGTATGGTTCCGCCAGACTGAGATTTCAAACTGCCATTTACATTTTATTTATTTAAAACAGCTCTGCATTGTTTCCCCAGTAGGAACTCATGTAGGACAACTGGGCAACTTAGGACATAATGGGCATTAGGGCCAATACCCATAGACAGTCTTTGATGCAGAGAGATACCAAGGAGCTACCATCAGGAAAAAAAAAAAAAGGAAAAGCTACAAGAGGGACCAGCTGTGCACTGAAAGAAAGCTCTACCCTACAGAACAAAGGTAAGATAAAAACTCCTACTAATTACAATTTTCATCTGTTGATGAGACCAAGCTCCATTCCAAACGCATCTGCTACACTAAAAAAAGAATTTTCTATGCAAGCAGGAAAATACCTATTTACTGCCCAGTACTGTTTGGGAGCATCCAAAGTACCTCTGAAGCTGACCGACAATGCAAAGTGTACAACAAAGGCCTTAATAAACATCTAGCAAGCCTGTAAAACAAAGTCTGAAATATGGATAAGCACTATATAACACAGCAATGATAACACTGTACTACATACCAACTCACTGCTGTTATTCGTTTTTTGTTTATCCCATGAAGCAACAAGAAAGCTTTTTTAAACCCATGTCAACATGCTGCCAAGTTTCTTAGTATCTGCTTTTAGCTTTTACCCAGCTTTCACTGAGTCTTTTACACCTCACTGTGGCAACACTACAGAAGTACCTTCCTCCCTTTGATGCTGAAAGATTATAGAACTAACAACTTGTCTCTCAGCTGTATCCTGAGCATACAAAACACTTTCACAATAAAACTTAAGGATAATGCTGATATGCTATCAACAGCATTCCACTCTGCTGAAAAGCAAAAACGCCATCTCCAGGGGAAAAAAAACACAAAGGAAATGCTACAGTTGCACAGAAAACCAATTCTGTAACTGCTTTCTGTGACTTAAAGTTTAAGTCAGACTTGTTCACCAGTAATCTTTTCTGTTCATAAAATGGAACAGCCAAATTAGCTACAATACTTTGCACCCAAACGTTTTTTTTTGACAGCTAGATGAAAAGCAGCCAACCAGACAATCAATATAAAATGCAACATACCTTTTCCAGTGCCATCACACCTAAGTTTTCTTCCTTCAGATTTAAGCATGCTGAGAACAAGTTCTCTTATCTATACAAACTCATTAAAGAAAACTAGAGGGAGGCTGCTAAATGCACACTAAGCAAAAACAGAGATAAAGAGTAGCTACTTTTGCTGTGTTCCTGTATCTAGCTGAGAATTATAAATAATTAAGTGCCCCACTGCTTCCTCAATATTAAATGCTGTGCTCCAATTAAGTCTAAATAAATATTCTCCTTCATCCTACATAGCCTCTGTTTCTTTCATAAAATGCTCCATTTTGGTCAAGAGCTTCAGAAGTTTTTATTCCCATCAACTACTTACCTTTCCTACTAAACTTTCCTGCCTGGAAAAAAGTACTTCATAGTCAATTAGCATATTGTTTTTTCTTTAAAAGCAGGAGGACATATAGTGCCTATAGCAGATATAAAAAAGCACCACTTTCTAGACTTGGAATTTCCCATAAAAACACCTTTTTAACTCCAGAAACTCTCATATCAGTATAAAAATGTTGGTTAAGACAATTAAGTTTCCCTGTGAGATTGTAAGAACTGCATTAAAACTGCTTCTACAGAAGTCGACAAATAAATCCTTAGTTTCTACTGAATAGAATGTGTCACGAAATGCAGTCATGAACAGCTACTAATTTACATATTTTGATGTCTACCTGGGAAAATATTTCAGTGGAATACACAACCGCTGGACTTCCTAGGCTGGAAAAGACCTTCAAGATCATCAAGTGCGAACATCAATCTGGCCTAACAAGCTCCAGCACTAACACCACATGTCTCAGCAACATGTCCATATGTTCCCTTATACACCTCCAGGAAGAGGACTCCCCCACTGCCCTGGGCAGCCTGTTCCAAGATTTGATCACTCTCTCCATGAACAAATTCTCCTTCACATCCATTCTGAACCTCCCTGGGGCACATTGATACCACTTCCCCACATTATATCACATACAGCAGGGGTAGATGTTGATGAAACATATAGCAATTTGTAGCATGCAGCTAAGACTGCTTACACCAGCATTTATTTATGAACTTGTCCACTACAAACCAACCATGATCTAAATGTTAGTTGCTTTTACTATGACCAGACCTAAACTCAATCTTCTGAGCCAGGAACAACTGATGGGAATACACTTTGCTTCAGGAACACTCATCATATTATAGCAGTGTTACAGAAGTCGAAAGACTTGCTTATTAAGTTCTTATTCTGGTTTTCACAGGAAGAACATGTTAGCAGATGTATTTCTAGCACTGTTGTGTTGTTTTTGTTTTTGTTTTTTTTCCCCTGTTGCATGCAGCAAGTCACTAAGCAGCATTCACCTGTCAGGTACAAAACAGATCAGTATCACATCTTGATCATCTATGTTGTCAATTCTGGAAGTGTACCTAGAAGCAATCTTTAGATGTTACTCTAGAAGTAGTAGGAGACGGTCTACAGAGCTAACTAGGACAGTTTCATTCATCTCCAGCTCATTAGCTAACAACCTACAGAAAATGAAAACACATTTTGCAAAGCATTACATTAAAAACCAACAAGCTTATTTTCCAGTGGTCTGATACCTTTAAGGAATTCCACCCACCTGCCTTCTTTCACACAAAATGGCAAATAACAGCAGTAACTACAACGGTTAAGAGGTAGGAAAAAATACCGACAAAATCATATCTTTCAAGCTTGAGGTCAGTGCTTTTCAAGAGACTAATTAAAGGTTGAAATTGTGGTGAAGAGATAGGAGGACTTTGTTCAGTCTGGTAAAGAGAAACTTTCTGAAGTTATTATGGGACTCACATGAAATGTAGGAAAGGTATTCACGGTTGTTGTTTTGCTTCGAGAATATAGTTCAATAGCAAGATCTCCATCTAGTGGCAGGATGTTTCCACACTAAATGTCAGCAACATACAGAAGGCTTACCCCCCACCCCTTTTTAAATCTCCTAACATTATTTAGGCTAGTTTATGCAAGTATTCTAAAGCACTTTTCTAAAAATCAGCACTTGTCTACTGCCATCTATCATAAGAGTGCTGACTTACCTGAATATTCACAAGACTCAAGCAGCTGCTCCTAGGTACATGCTCCCATAAAGGTTAAGGCACTATTCATCATTCTGCAGTGATAAAAGAGGGTCTACAAAAGCTAGAGCCAAGAACACTGATACATGCTAAATAATCTCTTATCAACTGTCTTATCTAACAGAATTGTATTGCTAGTCTGTGCTATAAGTTTTGAAAACAAATAAGAAATGGAATAAACAGTTTACTACAATGTAAGTGTTCATTTATACAGGTAACGGCTGTAACACCAGTATCTCAGACTATAATAGAAAAACATTATTCTTAGGAAAAACAATTAGACATAATGAGAATATTACAGGATATGAATTAATACTGAAATTATATGAAAATACTATATAAATACAAATGCTCACATTTAAACAGGAAATTAAAACAAGTTTTACTTCAGGGTCTAATGCAGTTGTTTAAGCCAATGTTACTACCAAAAGGAGGAGACGCACCAATCTCTGTCCATCCACATAAGCCTTGGCCACCTCTAACTTCTGCTGGCAAAAATTCAGAATGTCATGATGTAGTTCATCAGGATCGAAACTGATTCAACATGGAAGACACTAAGAAGTTCTGTTTTTCAAGAAACTGATAGCAAAAAAGCACAATGAATTCCCATGATTCTGGCCATTAAAAAAACCTTCAGATCAAGACAAAGATAACTACAGAAACAGTTATGTACACTTTGAATAAAGGTCCAAAGAATTCATTTTGAAATGTCAATTTGTTCCTCATTATTTTAAGAGAAATCTTACAAATCAAGTGCCACTGTTCCACTTACATGCAGGTTTTCCCAAGTTCAAATCCTATCAGTTCTAAATACCTAGCAATCATTCAACTTTTAACTCCATTTTATCACAAAACAAATTTCAAAACCTTAATCTCAAGTGTCTATACAGATATACTTTACTCTTTATTCAAAGTTTTCAAACAGTAGGTAAATGCAAAAAGAACTGAAACTTTCCACATTGACAGAATTACAGTTGTTTTCCATAGAAACAAAGACTAGATTTCTAGAAGATTTCTAGAAGACTTGGATTTGTTCCTAAAAACTGTAAACAAGCAAAGCAATCAATATTAAAATTGACTTTGTTACAAAAAAAACATGTAAGCAAATTTAAGCTGTTACACTACCTTAACAATACAACTAACACATTTAACATGAATCCCCTTTTCAGAACAAGAAACCTAAGCAAACAAAGTAGCAATAGAAAGGTTTTTTTTACTGCATCCTTCGTGAGTTGAGTGCTTACATGATTTTATGGTTTATCCCCTTCTTTTTTTTAGAAAAAGTCTATTTTCTATAAGAAAGTTGTTTATCTTTGATTGCGCTGTAATACGAAAATGTCTTCAGTACAAAAAGTTCATAGTATTGAAAATGCCTTTCCCTTCCCAAACAGCACCTAAGTATAAAGAAGTCAACAGTAGATGGCTGGAGTGGTGTTGTCCGACAAAAATCAATCCCTGGAATGCAGAAACTTCTAAAGTTTCTATTTTAAAAAAAGACTGGCATATAAAACTAGGGGTAGGGAATGTCATTTTCAAACAGTACACAAAGTTCAGAATCACCAGTTTATGTCCTAACAACAAGTTACAGATACAGTTTCTTTTACAAAACTTCATTTTCAATGTCAGGAAATTAAGGCCATTAGACTTTCAGCTTAAGAACTCACAGAAATAAACTACAAAAATACATTGTGCTTTTGAGAAGGCTATTCTGTAGACAATGATCACCATTATTTGAAGAACCTGGATGACTGGAAAGAGTTACATGATCGCACAGCTTCTGTCAGATTTTCTTGGGCTCCCCTGTCACAAACAAAAAAGTCATGATTGGAAAAAATCCAACAGCAAGATATTCAGAAATCAAAAACAGTGTAATTATATATATTATTAATATAATACATACATATTATCAATGTACAATTACTAGCTTGGTATGGTCTAAGCAAACTGTAATATAATGTCTTGACCCTATGAAGTAAGGGAATGCTAGATATCCTGTTAAGTGAGGTAATGGTAGATAGGCACCACTGTAGGAGACTGAGAAGTGAGAAGCAAATATTTGGTAGAAGAGTAAAAGGAGACCACCACAGTAATGATATGAGGGAAAGTTGGAGGAAGGAGCCTTGCAAGGCAAGTGTTCCTCCAGACTGATTTCCTTATCTTGTGAAGATTATACAGACCTGCTGACCTGCAACAAGCAGACTTAGTGGGGAAGGAAGAGATGTGGCAAACTGCACCTGTACTCAGTTCAGCAGAGTGACAAAGACAGCCACTGAAGCCCCTCCGGCCCATTTCCAGAATACACCAAATCTTGAACTGTGCTTGTGCAGAGGTAGAGCCATATCTCAGTCACAACATTAGAGGAGACCTGGCAACCATCTGAGACCCCAGACTCATTTCTGAAACATTCTGAAGAAGCACTTTACTTCTCCTTAAGGGCCACAAAGACAAAGAAGGCAAAGGACTGCCCTTTCAGGTGTGCACATCTTCCATGGCAGGAACAATCACTGCTGGATCCAAGGGTGAGAACTGTCTCTTTGTATCTTTATTTTCATTTCTCTCTTTTTCTCCCTCTTTTCAAGTTATATTAGAACAGATGCAAGTTGATTCATCATAGCTTACCACTAAAACTGCATTTCTTACGTAGTACCAATAATCACATTCCCTAGGAAATTTGAAACTACTCTTGCTTGAATAAACTCATTAGCCAACTGTCGTTGTCATTTCACCTTACTGTGCCCCAAGGAGACCTCACACCTTACAACTTCCATACTTACCCAGGGTAGCTCGAAGTCATGACAACCAGAAATAACAAAGGCCATACTGTAGTTTATAGCTAAAAGCATCACTGAGATCACACAGCTGGTGAATACAGTAGTGAGCACATACAAATACGTCAGAAGTTTTTATTTAAAAAAGTCCACTAATATTTCTTTTGCTGAAAAGCTAACGCTGCTTTAGCTGAAGAGCACACCCCAGAAACCAAGCTGCCACAGGATGCACTTCAATACTGAAAAACTGTAGTAAAAGCTTGCACCTGTATTCAGTGCCACTAAGATACAACTCAGTTACAGGCCAAAAACATGCCTGGCAAAAAACCATGATTTCTCAAGCAGTCAGCTCTCTTCATTTTTTCCTGCAGATTTACATACATGACTTTAGTTACTGTTCTATGTTCACTCTCCTGACCAACATTAATACCCATACTAACTGAAAAATACATTTTAGCTAAAGGAGCAAAATATCTATAAGATGTGTGACCAGAATGCCAAGGGAGGTGATCCTAATCCTCTGTTTTGTGCTGGTGAGTCCTCACCTGGAGTACTGCGTCCAGATGTGGAGTCCTCAGTACAGGAGAGGCATGGACCTGTTGAAGCACAACCAGAGGGCGGCCACAAAAATGATCCAGGGGATGGAACACCTCTCCTATGAGGAAAGGCTGAAAGTGCTGAGGGTGTTCAGCCTGGAGAAGAGAAGGCTGAGGGGAGACCTGACAGTGGCATTTCGTTATCTAAAGGGGAGCTACAGGAAAGAAGAGGACAGACTCTTCAGCAGGGTCTGTGGTGGCAGAAAAACATAAATGGTCTCAAGCTCAAAGAGGGTAGATTTATGTTAGATATTAGGAAAAAATCTTTTACAGTGAGGTGGTGAGGCACTGGAAAAGGTTGCCTAGTAATGTGATTGATGCCCCACCCCCGCAGACTTTTAAGTGAGGTTGCATCAGGCCCTGTCAACCTGAACTGGCTGTGGTATTGCAGCGGAGCTGGACTAGATGACAATCAAGAGGTCCCTTCCAACACTAAGGAATTTATGATTATATGGCCTTGGCCTTAGAGGAACTTATTTGCCCATTACAATTACTGCCTTTTCAGAAAGCTACTTGGTTAAAGCAGTAACACCAAACTCAGAATGCAAACTACTCAGTACGCTGTATCTGAGTATTCTCTCATCTTTCAAAGCACTTTATACTGTCACTGCAGGTTCACACCTCTGCCTTTAGAGTTGCGTTTTTTCATCATGCCTGACACTTTCACTCCTAGAGGAAATGAAAGATTTAAGTTCCATAAGTAAGCAACTACCATTTTATGTACTGACTGAAGGCAAACACCATACATTTCCCTCAGTCCAATTGCATCAGAAAGTTTAAGAAAATCCCGTATGTTCCTACTAATTTTAATAATTCTTAAAACGGTTATGTTTTAATTCAATTACTGATTTAACAAAACAAAAACAACAGAACAGCCATGCTCAAACAGTTATGACACTTCTGTAAAAAAAAAATCCCTTCTTATACATGTCTTTTCCTTTTCAGTCTATGCAAATTTGTTAAGACAGTAGTCTGGACAAGCCTTAACAAAATACCTGTTGGTGGGCAACATCTCCTTCAAGAATTTCTTCACCTTCCTCCTCCTCCTCTTCCCCTTCATTTACAGTTGTTTTAAAGACAGTGCTTCTCTGAGCAACTTCCTGCAAAGGAGTTACATTTTTAATAATTGACTCTTCCAAGAGCTCATGATGATCTACTTGTATTTTGAGAAAGCAGAATGCCACCTGTTCAGACAGCCAACTGTACAGTTTGTCTGTGCACTGCAGCACATGGAAAGTATGTACACAGCATTCCTAACACTTCAGTTGTAAATCCCTTAACAATTAAAAAACTTCCTAAAAATGCACATCAAGCCTTTTTCCCCCATAACTATTACAAGAAATTTGTATTTTGGTATTTTACCTCAATTGCTACATGTCATAGTCACTGATCTACTTAAAATTAACACTTGTTTTCCTAACTCCTCATTAACACAGTTTTCATGGGAACAAAATAAAAACAGAGCACTGAAAAGTTTACTAATATCTTTTACCTTCAAAATTGAGGCACCCCCATCAGAGCAATGTCAGAACAAATGGATTATATAAAATTTGTAAGTTTTCTCAACGCTGCACCCCTTAACTGCAATTAAGTTCAAGAAAAGTGCACAGTATGCTTGGCTAAAAGTAGCAGGAGAAAATTTTACTACAGTCTCACATGCACTTAAGCGCAAAGAACTAACAGTGCTTCTACCTGTATCTTTACAAGGCTAGATGCTGGAGTGGCAATATAGTCATATGCAAGTTTGACACATCTGAATTACTTTACCTCCCCCTGAGAATTTTTCAGCACAACTTTCACATCTTCACCAGTGCCCCAGGAATTCTGGTTCTTCCAGATGAGGTCAGTGGGAGGGCTAGCAGTCACTCCAGCATTTGCAGCCCAAATCTGTTAAAAGTCACAAATGAATGTTACTTGTTAGTCTTACATAATTCACTTCCATTTTAGGCAACACCACTGAATCTCTTCCAGTTAAGAAAAAATGAAGTCTCACTCCAGCTACTATTTTTTTTTTTTAAACATTAAAATAGCCTTACTTTTTTAACATGAACAGACACTTTTGAATATGCAAATGAACCTACTTACAGTCAAAATTATTGTTGCATATATAAAGGTAAGTTTCTAAGAAATGTGACTCTGTTCACTAAAAATTACCCTTCCCGACAGATGATACAATGAATGCTAAATATAGGTGATTTTTTTTCTCCCCATCTGTATGGGAAGGACAAAAAAACATTACTGACTTACTGACATACACGAATTAACCTAAAGCCAGTTTGAACTGAACAGGTGAAGCTTGACAACTTACTGTAACAGTCTGTCCTGCCTTCAGTACATATCTTGAGGTATATCTGTAACTAGCAGAAGTGTCTCCTATTTTTCTGATCATCTCCCAACCTCCCATAGGTTGATCCTAAAAAGAAGGATAAAGTTTGTCAGCAGTTATTGTGTTAAACATGTAGGGTATTTTACACATACGGACATGATGCATATAAAATTTTGTATTTACCTTCAGCACATAAATAGCTACAGTTTTAGGCAAGCTGATCTTTTCTTATTCCAGATTAAATTTCAGTACATTCCACTTCTCCATTTTGACATCATCCTTTTTTAAATTAGTGTATTAGTTTGCTTCAGGCTTTTTCTATACCTTAGTCCATATAAATGCACAAGTGTTAAGCCTTACAACATTTTGTCTAGCACTCCTGATCACTCCCACATACAATTTAGAACACTGCACTACAGACTGTTGCTGAAAACTTTATGCCTGACTAAGTGCAATAACTATGAATCATATATGGCTACTTAGAGCTGATGGTTCAGCTATGGATAAACAAATGTGCAGCTAGAGGTCACCTATAATAGAAGGGAATCCCATATGGTGCAGAGGGAAGTTTCTGAAAAAAAATGGTTAGGGAAAAGTGGCAGGTCTTAACACACTAGAGCAAGTTAAAGTCTTCTTTATAAACACTAAAACATAACACAGGATTGTTTTTTTTCCCTTTAAACAGGAGTTAAAATTCCTATCTTGGGCAGGAGCAATTTAATGCAACAGTTGATGTCCTTCAAACAAAAGCATGAGTAATAGTCAAAGCATTTCTTTAAGTGAAATGCCTTTAAATATTGTCCCACTTCCCCACTGATGCAAACTGCAGCCTACCCACAGAAAAACAATCTGGAGAGGTTTTGGCATGAGCACATATTGCTCCTTCCAAAAACTGCAGATGCAACCAAGGAAAGAAGGAAAATTGTAACTTAAAGAAGACATACGCAAGTATTAAAGAGTGTCTCTAATTAGTCAGTTAGACCTTCACAGACATTTAGAACTTCATTCTGCATTGGTGCTATTTCTTTTGGGTCTTCTTAAGGCAGAGAGAAACTTCTGAAGAAATAGTGCAAATGGACTTTAGGCTATCAATGATAATTGTAACTGTAAAGCCAGATCATCTGGCAAAGCAGAACTAAAGAGTTTGGCACCTTGAAAACCATTAGAAACAATCTGGAAATTGTTACTAACCCAGAATACTGTTGGAAAAAACATTCTGTGACACACTAATTTCTAACGGCCCTCTTTCATACAGCCTTAGTTCCAGAGTCAACATTAAGCCTGAGATGTGATATGGTGCTGAGAAAGCCTTCTACCTACTCAGCCCGCTGTAAAGACATGTGATATGAGCACTTTCAAACCTGTTCAGAGGTATTCTTCAAGCGGATGAATTTTCCATCAACATCTATCTCCTCAATAGAGATATTTCCAGTGGCAGAAGCTGAATGGGAGATGCTAACACTACTGCTGGCTTCAGATTCTTCCACATCAATTCTCTTCCTCTTTCCTCTGGTGGTACGTACGCTACGGCTTGATGAAGCTCGTGAAACTGTCACTCGAGAAGATGGACCTGGAGAAAGTCTGAGCCTAAATTGAAGAAAATCAGAATCACAAACTGTAGGGGTTGGAAGGACCTCTAGAGATCACTGAGTCTGGCCCTGTGCAAAGCAGGCCCCTTTGCAGCAGGCTGTACAGGTAGGCATCTAGACAGGTCATGAAATCTCCAGTGAAGGAGAATTCACAACCTCCCTGGGCAGCCTCTTCCAGTGCTCCATCAGGAAGCAAAAGGAAATAAAACAAATTATTCTACCCTCATTTAAAAACTTTCTTCCTATCTTCTCCTGTGCCCACAGAATTACATAGCTAAAGGTAGAGGAACATTGTAAACAAAAAACATTACATCAGAATTGAAGCTGTAATTACTTTAAAGAATTAAAATGTTGTCAAACAGCTCATTAATGCTCAGGGACATGAAAAACAAAAGACTACTATATTAACATCATAAAATCATCTGCACTACTGGGTAGCTGTAGTAAGTCCAAAAAGCTCATAAACAGCAACTGCACAACACTCTTACAAGGACTTAAGTTTTGGAAGGAAATTTATACAAAAATGTCTGTGGCAAAACCACCATCAGTATTTCATCCCCACACAGAAAAATCAGCTGAGAGGAGTGCCAGTAAAAAAACCAAAGGAATACACAATTTCAAATCACAACTGTGACTTGCCAAGTCGAAGTTCTCAGTGCTGCTGAACTCTGTAGTCAGGTGTAGAAAGTGTAGCTATCTGCTGAATTAGGTTATCACAATAGCTATGTCACAGTATTAACCCATGCTTAAAGCAACTTGGATAACAACTCAGGGCTAACTCTCAACAGGGGAATAATATCTGTATCTTTGTAGAACAGTCATTGAAATACTCAAGAAAGTTTCTGTCACAGAGGTAAACGTGTGTCAGACACAAGGACGCAAAGAACAGCGTTTTGTTAACACCAGTAAAGGGCTTAATGAAAGAACTGCCTTTTAACAGAGTTCGACAAGCAAGCATGCAGAGTCACCATGTTGCCACGTTCTTTCATACCTCTCCTCTTCGCTCTCCAGCAATTTGCGGTATGCGCTGATTTCCATATCAAGTGCCAGTTTAACATCCAGAAGTTGTTCGTAGTCACTGAACTGCTGCTGCATTTGATTTCTCATCTCTGCCACTTCTCTCTCATTCTCAGCCAGTATTTTGCGACAGTTTTCCCGCTCCTTGGACAAGGCGTCCTCAAGCTCATGCACTCTATCTTGCCATGCTCTAGACTAGAAAGCATTGAAAAACAGTGGTCTAAAGGATAGCTCACTCTAATGTCAAAGCGCTCCACTAATCAGGTAAGCCGAATTTCAGAATACCAGACTAAGCACCCTCTTTCTCTCTCTCCAAATTCAAACCCACCCACACTCATCATCCTGTTCTCCACATTTTCTTTAAAACCTTAAGTCCCAATGAAATTTTCAACATACTTTAGAAGGCAAACATTTTCATATTTCAGAAAAATTAACTAAGTATTACCACAGCTGAAGAAGAATGGAACTAAAAAGTCAGCATGTTTAAAGATAACACAGGGTAGGACACAAAGAAAATGAGCTTGGTGAACTTCAAAGCCTGTGGTACATAATTGTTTTTCAGCTCTCAGATGTATGTTCCTTGCCTCAGTTTACTGCTGCCAATTCTAAATTCTTGAAGTTTATCTAAAGGAATAGTGAATGCCTGCCTGCCTACCAACATTTTCAAGGTCTGCTGAAACTGCAGTGGCAATTGGTCCACAGGAAAGCTAATTTGCAAGGCATTGGCACAGGCTGCCTAGTGATGTGGTTGATACCTCACCCCTGGACTTTCAAGGTGAGGCTGGATCAGGCCTTGGACAACCTGTTCTAGCTCTGATGTCCCTGTTCATGGCAGCTGAGTTGGACTAGATGGCCTTCAGAGGTCCCCTTCCAACTCTAAGGATTCTACAATTCTATGATCTTAATATTGTATACACAGAAGGGAATACTTATCAAAGAATAACTAAATCACGACACCTTTAAGATCTACTTTCCCTGAGAGCATTTTTTCAGCCTGATGTTCTCTAAAATACTTTAACTGAAGGACAAAAAAAAAAACAATAGTGCTCTAGAACCATGTTGTCTGGTTAAACCACCAAATTTGCTGTGAAGGCACACTACTCTAAAAGTCATCATAGTACAGCAATAGCAAAACAAGCAGCCTACCAGGCAGATGCAGAGGACCAGTTTAACTAGATGCTGCTCTTAAGACTCAGATAGTGCTTAGTGTTACGCAGAAGATTACAGAATTTGCTGAAACTCACAGCACATATCTCTGCAAATTTAGAAGTTTTTTAAACCTAGCAGCCAATTTAAGTTAGCAATATGACACTGACATTTAACTGAAGTTAGAAGGAAAAAACCAACACACTGACTGAGCCACCAGAACAATGACAATCACAATGTAAAGGCAGAAATAAGAGCTAAGTAGCCAGAAGCCTTAATCCAATTCTTGTGCAACCTCATGCACACTGATTACACAACCTGGCCTACTTTAGAAATTAATTTTACTGTATAACAGAAAAACTGGGAAGACTCATACCCAAAGTTATTAGGAAAGTGCATGAATGTTCTTCACCTGAAGTACACTGAATTTTGAAATTCTACAAGTCTACTATACAGTAGCAATACAATTCAAAATTCATCACTAATAATAGGAAGAATAAAAACTAAAAAATTACTAATTACTTATTGAAACAAAATGCAAAGTCTTCATTGCATTCAACTGATAAGTAAGGTTCTGAAACGAGCTTCAGTAACAAGCATTAGTATCTGTCTAGCTTTTCACTCCAGATTTTCCAGTACATGACTATTTTGATCAAGTAAACTAGCACTGAATATGTGACTTGTCATAGGTTGTGTCACACTTCTATAAGCATTATCTATATACTGTGACCTGACACTATGTCCATTTAGCTTCAGCTCTACAAACCTCAAGTGTAGCTACTTGATGCACTTCGCCCTCTAATTTCATCCCAATCCTGGCACAATCATTCAATTTCATCATTTTTAAAATAGCTCTAGATAATAAGTGGGTCAAATATGGAAGAAGATATCAAGCAAACTGTTTATTTTAGCTCTGGCTTGGAATCATGCTTTGCCAAATACTGCACTAAAGCATTCAGATACTGAAGAAAAGAACTAAATTGTTTAGAACGTCAAGAATACACAGCTTGTGCTTAATACTGTCTTATCTAGAAAACAAAGAAGGGGTTCTGCACAGTTCTTACAAGACCTAATGTAGTAGGATCAGATCCTTACTAGTACTAAACTAGTACTAGTAAACGAGTACTAGTACTCGTGTACTAGATTTTTTTCAGTTTTCTCTACATTTGCTGGTACTAAGTTGAGATGAACTCTTGACTCCATAAAGGGTGGAGAGGTGTTGCAGAGATCTAGACAAATTAGAGAACTGGGCAGTCACCAGATGCACAAAGTTTAACAAGAGCACATGCTGCAAATTCTGTGAATCCTGCACTAGGGAAGGGGCAACCCTGGTTATACATACAGACTGGGGGATGAGTGGCTAGACAGCAGCTCCACAGAAAGGGATCAGTGTGTTCTGGCTGATGGCAAGCTGAACAAGAGCCAGCAGTGTGCCCTGGAGCCTAAAGGGCTAGCCCTGCCCTGGGGTGCAGCAGGCCCAGTGCTGCCACCAGGAGAGGAGGAAAGGGGCTGTCCTCTCTGCTCTGTGCAGCCTCACCTCCAGCACTACATGCAGATTTGGGCACCACAATATAAGAAGAACATAAAGATATTAGGAGTGTCCAAAAGAGGGCAACAAAGACTGTGAAGGGTCTGGAGGGCGAGGTGTGTGAGGACTGGCTGAGATCAATTGATTTGTCTGATCAAGAGCAGAGACAGATGACATGAGGCCTTATGGCAGCCTACATCCTTCAAATCTTCTGTAGCACAGAAGATCAACTTTGTCTAAAGAAGACATTACAAAAATAAGTTCAAACAGAACAGAAAACAAATTCAAAACACAGTGATGAACATACTTACAAAGTAAGGGAAAGAATTCACATTAAAAATCAACAACTAATAAGACTGAACAGACAAACTTGTTACCTCTTTCTGAATATCGGCGATATGGGAAGACAGTGTTTCAATTCGCATACGACTTTCATGAAGTTCTTCTCTTACCGTGTTGGCTGTACAACTGTGCATCTCAGATGACTGTCTAATATTTTCAAGCTACAAAAGATAAGACATCAACTTCAAAGTATCTTTAATTAAAAGAAAAACCCCGTCTCCAAACAAGATATATACAGTATGAAGGTGCGAAAGTTCCTCTATCCAGCTCTAATATATTATAAAACATCTCTCTCTTCAGTGGTTAAATGTGGTGGTTCAATTATCATGTTGGATTGCCCTATCTAAAAACCACAGCTATCCGAACATTTATTGTAGGATTAACTCAACTCATTGTAAGTTTCCCTTGAAGACATTACTAAAACTAGAATGCTAAGTTCAGTTTTTACTAAAAAAAACAGTACGTATCTTTATATACTTAAATACTGTTTTTTAAGTATGTCTGAATAAACACTAACCTGAAATCATTGATTTTCTACAGAAGCAAGTAAACAACTGATGCTGATTATCAGACAACATGAGCACATTAGTTACGTGCCTTAAGATTACAGGTACCAATGCCATGATCACTGCTTCTTTATTTTAATTTATTACATCAAGTTCCAGTAATTTTGTTTTTAGACTGTTTAAAACACCCAAAAGGAAGCCTCAATTAGAAAAGATTTTTCAGATTATAGGAAGATTTTTGCTAGATCTTATTTGAAATAACTTCCTTTCTCCTAGTTTTTTCAAGTCAGACTGAAGCCCTGAAGATAAGCAACTGCACAGTTTTCCAACTTTATTTTTAAAAATACTGAACGCTGTTCTGAAAAACACTAACTGCAATAAGAAGCCACAAGAATCAGGTTCAGTTGAGACATCAGGATCCTTCCTTATAAAAATTACAAAAATGCTGAATCATAGTAGAGGAAGGAAATGATGAAGTATAACTCATTTTAGTTTGAGTAGGGTTTCACCCTTCCATAAATGCAGAAATGACTGGGTGTGGTCAAGGTCTCCACACAAGAATTTTGATATAGGGTTTGATATGGAGTGCTGTCTTCTCAGCAAGCCATGCTACAGACTAAGCTTTACACAAAATACAGAACACTATGCTTATTACTGAGATTGTTCTGTTACATTTATAATAACCACAACTTTCCTTGAATTCAAAGTAATCTCAGTACAAGTCTTCTTCCACATACTTCATTTACACAGTGCTTTCTATACCTATTTTATTGCGCTGTTTAAGTTTCAACTCTGCCTCCAAAACGAGAACTACAAATGTAGATATACCTTCAAAAACATGGTGACTTTAACCCAAATGCCAAAATAAAATCCTCTGAAATCTAAGAAATTGTTAGGATATCCCCCCACTAAACAAAGCAAAATAAAGTAAATCGGACAACTGCATGAAAGAACATTCTCACTTTGCTACTATAAGTCTGTTCGAGCTCCTCTTTGTACAGTTTCACTTGTGCGTCATGCTGCTCTCTTATTTCCTTCAGTGCTTGGGCCAGTTTATACTCATATTCTATTTGACGCCCAGAGTCAACTTCAACTAAGCGAGTTTCATGTTTTCTTCTCGTCTCCTTGATTTCCTAAGAAAAATAAAAAGACAAGATCACCATTCAATAAATGAGGAAAAGCAAGTTTTAGAATCTGACTATCCAATAAGCAGATTGCAATAGAAATTTCAGCTAGTCTTGTGAGTCTTTATTGGAGAAGTTGAGAACTTCACACTAGGTATGAAGGTGGAGTGTGGGTTAAAATTCAGCTCACTAGTGATGAGCCTGGGGGAATGACATCAGGGTTGGGAGTGAAGCCAACAGCTGAGCTGAAATGCATCTACACCAAAGCACACAGCATGGGCAACAAACAGGAAGAGCTAGAAGCCATTGTGTGGCAAGCAAACTGTGATTTAGTTGCCATTACAGAAACATGGTGAGATCGCTCACATAACTGGAGTACTGCAACAGATGGTTATAAGCTCTTCAGAAGGAACAGGCAAGCAAGGAGGGGATGGTTGTGTGGTTGTGAGTATTTGAGAGTGTTGTGATGCTGTAAAGCTTGGAGCTGGGAATGATAAGATCAAGACCCTATGGGTAAGGATCTAGGGAAAGGCCAAGAAGGCTCACACCTTAGGGGGTCTGTTATAGACATTCCAACCAGGATGAAGAGACAGACAAGGCGTTCTACAAGCAACTGCCAGAAGTCACGCAATCACCAGCCCTTGTTCTGGTGAGGGATTTCAACTTCCCTGATTTATGCAGGAAATACAACACAGCCCAGAGGAAGCCGTATAGAAGACTTGAGTGTGTGGAAATAATAGCCTGACACTGCTGGAGCCCACCACGGGAGGTGCTCTCCTAGACCTGCTGCTCACAAACAGAAGGACTGGTGGGAGATGTGGTGACTGGGAGTTGTCTTGGGAAGAACAACCATGAAATCATAAGAGTTCTTCATTCTTGGTGAAGTTAGGAGCAGGGGGTCAGCAGAACTGCTACCCTGGACTTCCAGAGGGCAGACTTTGAGCTGTTCAGGACATTAATAGAAAGGATCCCTTGAGAGTCAGTCCCAAAGGATAAAGAGGTCCAGGAAGGCTGGAAATTCCTCAAGAAGGAAGTCTGAAAGGTGAAGCATTAGGCTATTCCCCTGTGACATAAGATGAGCAGCAGAGAAGACAATCAGCATAGCTTAACAGGGAACTTTTGCTAAGATTCTGGGAGAAAAAAAACTGCCTCCCCATAGAAGAAGGGACAGGCAACTCAAGGAAAGTACAAAGTTGCTAGCATATACAGTAGGAATATAAGAGAGGCAGAAGCCAAGTGTGGGCCACATCTCAAGTACTGTGTTCAGTGCCAAGCCCCTCACAACAAGATAAAGGCCATGGAGTGTGTGCAGAGAAGGACAATGAAGCTGGTGGTGAAGAGTCTAGAGCACAAGTCTTATGAGTATCAGCTGAGGAAACGAAGACTGTTTAGTGTGGAGAAGAGGAGGCTTAGGGGTGACCTTATCACTCTCTAAAATGACCCAAAAGGAGGTTGCAACGAGGTGACATGACACCCAAAGCTATTTCACCATTTATAAGAGCTCTGAGTTCATGTTATGTGCTTGTAATAAAAAGATAAAACCTAGATACAAGAGAAGTAAATTCTGCTCAGAATGGGAGTTCAAAAAGTTATTCTATTACTTCAGAATGACCTTTCAGTTATCCTTTGTCCTTTAAAAATACAAACATTTTATACTAAGAAAATTTACCTCCTCATACATATTCTTACGGAATTCCAAATCCTCAATGAGGCTCTGACAACGATTTTCAAGATCCACCTTCTGTAAAGTTTCATCAGCAAGTTCTTTCTTGGCCGCAGCTAAAGAAATCTCAAGCTTTAGGAAAAAAACACAAAAGCTCAGCATGATTATGTAGCAAAACTTGCATAACACAAATAACTCATCTGCCTACTGATACATTAAATAAATATTAAGGTTAAGGTTGACAATCAAGTCTAGTATTTAAAAGCAATGATTTTTTTCTCCTTTGTGATTGCTTGCACAAGTGAATAATAGATTCTGCACACTGGTAAGATTCATGCTAGTGATAAATGTCCTAAAATGTCCTAACAAGCCTTCATTTTTTCTGCTTGACAAAGAACAGCTTCCTGATTTCAGATGTCTCCTAGACTCATGCAAAGCATTTTTTTGTTGGTCTTGGTTTTCTTTTTGCTTAAAATCACAGTTAAGATACTTCAAAGGGTCAACAAAACTGTAAGACTTTTTTACTTGCTATCAGATGTCCTGAAGACAAAGTGCTACAAACAGAACTATAAAGAATGAAGATAATCATAAAAGTAGGAAAAGTAGGAAATACTTTTAAGTTCCAGCATTCCGACCCAACTTGCTTTCAGGAAGTATCTTCAAGAAGAATCAAATATGTTCTCAGTACATTTTTCATTACCCGCTATGAAAGACAGCTACAGCTTCTCTCCTCCAGCCATCTCTCATTGCTTCATCAACTCTTATTTTTACTAAATAATTATCCCAGTTCTCTTAAGGAATCTTCCTTGCTGCAATTTAAAGCTATCAGTTTTTGGTTGGTTTGGACTGGCACAAACAACTGACTACAGCAGTCCTGTAAGTGAAAGCTACAGCTCCGCTTTCTACAGTAAGTCCAAGTTCCATTGCACTTTTCAGATTCTTTCTGGAAGAACAGTATTGAACCAGTTACTCATATCAGTGACCTCAGTCATCCCACAAAATACTTCTCCAGTTTAAGTCTGTTTTGAACTCTTGATATGTCTGTCTACAGAAGTATGATCCTTTATACTCTGCCAAGCCTGGAATTTTAAAAGCACTCTACCATTCATGCTATTAATAAACTGAACCATACTGAACATACACCCATTCCATACTTTTGTTAAATTCTAACAGCAAACCCTAAGTTCTAGATTTGCATTCTTGTTTTGGCAACAAAGTTGCATTTTACCACAATGACACCAGTTCCTTAGTTAATTATTTCTTTTCCTCACCTGCACAATTTGATCTCTTAAATCCTCAAGCTCTTCTTCCTGACTTCTCTTATCACCCAGTGCTGTGGCCAGCGCAGCTTCCTTAGCATTTAACGCTGCTTCGAACTCTCGAAGTTTGACTTGAGCTGCATTAAGATCAGAATCCTTTTTTGCATAGCTGGAATAAAACAGAAAGCAGTAAGAACAGAAATGCCCCAAAGTAGACAAGCAAAACAAGGTGCAATCTAAACACTTTATTCATTTAATTTACTTTTGTTTAAAAACAAACTACTTAGTTCTGTTCTCTTATACTACAAATTACTTAGTACTTCACTCAAACGGTAGAAACTTTATTATAGAGGAAATTGTGTGACAAAAGATTTTGTAAGTGCTGTATGCATGGAAAGTGAAAACTTGTTAATTAAAGTTGCTTTTCGTTTTCTCCTTCACAAGCCACTGTAAAAATGTCCTATCCCCTAAGTTTTAATAGGTAGAAATAAGTTGCTCCCATTAACAGGCCCTTTCCATAGAGTGGAAACAAATAATCTCAGCAGCCCTTTTTATCCATGCAGGAACTCATACAGATCAACAGTCCAGCCTGCAAACAGTCCACTTTCAACCAACAAACCAGCTTCTAAATGAAAACTGAAGTTCACTATGCACAAGCCAACACCCCATGAACAGAAGCTGTAATACAGCAAGTTACTTTGCTATACTTTGCTTTCTACAGGAATAAATGGATTAGGACAACAGCTAGCATATTTCAGTTTCCACATTTCCTTGGGGAAAAAAAATAGAATTCGCAGCACTAAAAAGAGGAATCTAGAAACCAGTAAAGACTCTTAAGAACTAGATCCTAAGGGCCAGAGCATGAATACAGCCAGTACTTTTCAAATCGAAGCACTGCACTTACAAGCATCAACAGCAAAGCTTCTCAGCAAAATGAGACTAGCATCAGATCAACACACAATTTTGAAGAGAAGCTTAAATTTGTGGCTTTTCCAAGATCACATGCAAGTACATGCAATTAATAACAATTTCCAAGAGAAAAGGGTGTACAGAAGGCTTACCACAACGTTTATGAATCATTTTGGAGGCGATTTACGCCGTACAGCCGCCAGATGGCGGGCTTTATGTAACAGACTTAGCTTTAAGCCAAACCCACCTCCTCTGAATGACACAGCACACTGATGTGGTACACAGTACAACTGATCTCAAGAATTGAGAATCTTGTTTTCAAGAATTTATTAACATTTCTGCTGCTCAGTGCTATCCATTTGCTCAATGGGGTTTTACATATGACTGGACTGCTTAGACCCAATAGCTGGGTTCATCTATCAGATCACAGAAAGTAATTTAGGTTTTGGCCACACGGCTCCCCTACTTCCAAGCTCCCTTTGTTATTCACCAGAAACCCACTACTCTGTCCTTCCTCTCCTTCTCAGGCCTGTTAGAACTCCACTGTACAAGAACACCTGAATGACACCGAAGGTGGAAAAAAAAAAAAAAAAAAAAGGAGAAGTATCACATGATGGTATCAACACAACAGAAACCTCTCCATCTTTTAAGACTGATGAGGGCCCATCAAGCTCTGAGCATCACTGGATAACACTTCTCAAAAAAACATGCAGAAATGGCCTCACTCACGCTCTCACAAAGCTTCAGACTGAAATCAAGCCTGTCAAGTTGGATCCTAAAACTACGAGTCTGGTCCTCAAAGCAGGGCATGTATACAAGAGTAAAATCCTATCTGAATTATCCTGAACTCTAAAAATGAGAAGATTCCATCTGTGACCGAGGTCACAAAAGGGAAAAAGGCAGAATTGAAGTGTTATTAGTTATATATGCCATAAATTGTCTCAATCAAAGAGCTCATCTGAACATACTCTCAGGAAGAAAACAAATGGGAGCTCAACAATTTTAATGCTGAAAGCCAGACTAAATCTCAGCACCCCATCAGCATCTTCCCAGCCCTAAAGGAATATGGAAAAGAGCAACAAGATCAGAAAAACCTCTCAGCATCACATGTATACCCCACACACCTAGTAATTTCTGCCAGGAAGAACTTCAGAGTCCCAACAACAGCCAGCTTCTTCCACCACAAAAAGCTGAAGCTGCATTTCAAGACAACAAAAAAGCCCAAGCCCCAAGTACCTTCTTGCTGCCACGTTCAGCAATTACCTAGAACTGTACTCCAAGTAGTTTCACTCTTGAAAGCAATAGAAGCAAAGAATTGCTAGCCTGCCTCTTCAAAGAAGAAACTTGCTTTTCTCTTTGGACTTTGAAGTACATCTATTCATTCAAGCATCTATTCAAGCATCAATTCATTCATTTACAATTTATTTTGAAATAATGCAGAACTAAGATCTGACCAAAACCTAGCCAGTTGCTCTTTATTTTCTCTGTACTTCAGGGAGAACTTGTGCTTCAGAAATATAACCCGCATCATTTAACACATAAAAACACTGCAGAGAGACTCTCAACTGGTATTACCTCACTGCTCTCCCTAACAGAAGTTGCAGCCAATAGTACCTTAGATAAGGCCTTGCACAAACTGCCCTTCAGAAAGTAATGCCTCCTATTTATTTCCTTAGAAACTACAACACATACAAAGATTACAATATCACTTTATGATAGAACAGACTGTCACTGCAACCACTCTTCTTCAACACAGTAACCACTATTAGCTAGCCATGAACAAGAGCCTGCTTTGCCACACAACAATCTGCATCAGCAGAGGTGACCCAGTGTTGCAGCTGCTGCTGCTGAAATTCATCACCTGCCTCACTGTGCTCACAGCCAGTTTGGTTTCCAAAAACATTCAGCAAGAGTCAGTGAATGTCAGTGGGTGCCATTTTTTCCCCACGGAAGAATTTAATGCCTCACCTTCACTGTATTCACACTTCCATGTTGTACATCATTTTAGACAGCTCAGTTTGCTCACCATTCCCACTGTACAACTTGTAAAGCAGAACGAACAAGCACACAATCCTAAGGTACCATGGTTGTGTCTGGTTACCTGTGGCAGCTCATTTAAAACTAATAGAATGCTCCCACAATGCCACTGGTGCTACCACTGCTCTGGTGCAGATCAGAGAAATAGACATGCCACTTAACCTCAGGGAAAGAGGAAGGCTCCCTTTTCATGCTCTTGCAACCACCCTTCCTCTTTCACAAACTCTGAAGCTCATGAAACATCCTAGAACTTCCTGCAATTTCCTTGAATTTCTTACTAAGCTAGCTGAAAAGCTACCTAGGAAATAAATAATTTTATACCAGTTTATACCAGGCTCAAGCTGAGCCGGGGCATGATTGAAGTTCCACTGAAGCTGACCAAGTGCAAAATGCCAGCAACCTACAGGAGACCCTTTCCTTGTCTCCCACCACACACCTGTTCATTCCTGACAGTATTTGGGCAGCCACATTAGAGGTAAGTGCTGCCAGCAGTAATTTCAAGGAACATTAATTTTTCAGACAATTTGTGAAACGACTATGTGAGTGTAACTGATGATAAAGCAGCTCACAGTTACATTTACTTAAGGTTACACAGTAGCACACACTGTGCTGTTCTCCAGTCAAGTTGGGGAGGTGTGCACGCATGTGCAGAAACAAATCTAGTCACACTAATTAAACAAGACATCAAGCATTGCTTTCCCATGTTTCTTCCCCTAAGGCACAGAATACAGTAAAGCTGCATTTTGAAAGAATACAATTTACAAAAACAGAAGGGGTATCTGTCAGAAAGCATTAATGACTCTGTATACATATCAGCATGACAATAAACACCACCAGTTAAGCTCACTACTTATGTAAATTAATATATATAACCTGGTTCCAACTTCTTATTTCATCCACTTTAAACAGCTGAAAATGGTAACTGAAATCACGGTTATATGACCATCCCCATCACTCACCCCATTCTGAAGAGCTCAGTTGACTATGTACATTGAAGAATTGTAGCCATCAGTTTTAGCAGACCCTTTGCACAAGAACTATATACATTAAACTGTTGCTCAAAATTAACTGTTTTTACAGGTTCAAAAAAAAGATTCAAGTATAAGCATTTATGGTTCAGTGAAGTCTGATGTGTTTCCATACCTAATTATTAGATAACTCAAGATACAGACACCTATGATCAGTTGATTCGGTCCACGAGTGGTGATTCCACAGCTGCACTGACTCCTTTGCCAGATGTATTTGTACACATCATAATCTTGATCAAACAAATCTTAAAACAGCAGTAAAGAGCTCACAGAACTTCAAAATGATGAGAGAACACCAAAATGCTACCACATATTGAATTTCCAGTAAAAACACCACATTACAAACAGCATGTTTATTCAGTGTCTGTAGTAGTACTCACAAAATTTCTGCAGAACACACTTAATGACTTGGTTTAATAAAACCCCATGGAAGGTAAAAAAAAAAAAAACAAAAACCACAAAACAAAAGCAGGCATCAAAGCTTCAAAAGAGATGAAGAATAAGCTGTGTTGAGTTGTCTACATCAGGGTGTGAACATACAGCAGGCATCTGATAAACTAACATTCTCATAACTTCACTATATTTGGCAGCAGTAGATCTCCCACTCCATAACAGCTGGAATTTGTCACTACAGTTTGATTTCCAAATTTACTGCTTCAAGTTACCACTGCAAGTAGACATATACTTGTAGGATATGGTTACATCCTACTTCACGTGGAAGACATGCTCTTAGATCATTCACTCTTATGTTTCACTTGTTTAAGTTACAGTGCAACAAGTTAATTATTCCTCTCCTTATTTCCTTGGGATGACATCTCTAGGGTACACATGAGAACAGAGACAGGGTTCAGATTAAAGCTCAGCTGTTCTGTAGCCCCCAGACTTGACTTCACTTCTCAACATCACCCACAATAACAGGAATCGTAGAATGGCTTGGATTTGGAAAGCACTCCAAGAATCAAGCTCCAGTGCCCCTGCCACAGGCAGGGCTGCCAGCTGCAAGACAAAGAACAAGCAGGCTGGCCAGGGCCTCATGCAACCTGGCCTTGAACACCTGCAGGGATAGGGCTTCTCTGGGCATTCTGTGCCAGTGCCACACCATCCCTTCAGTGAAAAACTTCCCCTTGACATCTGATCTAAATCATCCCTCCTTTTGTTTAAAACCATTCCACTCCTGTCCTGAAGCACACTTTGAAGAGTGTTATATTAGCTGCCCAAGATTGTACCCTTAGCTCACTACGACACAGCACATGTGCACCACGGGAAACCCTGGAACAGCTGCTAGAACTTGGCTGGCAGGAATGCCACAGGGTTCTTCTGAACAGTTGCTCAGTGTATCAGCTGCACACTTGCAGAGCAATTCAAGCTACAAGGCAGTAACAGTTAGGTGTAATCCTAGCTGTTACCAATATTGCTTAGGCTATTACTGCTGAGTCTCACCTCAGAAATCCACTTCTGAATAAGGATGGAGAAAGTAGACCAACTGAAAGCAAAGCAGAATAACTAGAGAATTTAGCTCTTTAATATTAATAAATGCACAGAGCTAGCTGTCTGACAAAATCACCTTCTTATAAGTGACTGTACCCTACAACAGCTGATAATCAATGACCATTAAATTCTCTATCAGCATCTTTGATAAATCATAATTTCTTTAAGTGAAAATTTACCTCTAACACATTGTCTGCTTTTACAGGTAAGTGTACTTCAGTACTGGAAAGCCACCAGCAAAACTTCCAGAAGAGTTTCCTAAGATAGCTATTTAATAGTGTTATTGTGCTTTCTATAGCTGTTTTAGTTTCCATGGAAAATGACATAAGGCATTACTTTCAGAGCAGCTCATATATTTTTATACTGTAAGTAAACCACTACAGAAATTGGAAAGTAACCTGTAGCTTTGGTTTTTTGTGCACTGATTGGGCAGAAAGTCAAAAAACAGAAAGATTCTTGGAATTTAAAAAGAAAAGAATGAAGCACACCAGAAGAGCATTCTACCAACTAAAGAAAGCAGAGTTGTGAGAACAACTGGGTTTTCCACAGAAAAATCAAATAGCAGAGAACAGCTAGCTGGACTGTGACTCCCTTTGCTCAGGGTCATACAACTGAACAGCCAACCATCTGTGCTCCTTCTGGATGAGGTGAATCCCCCTTCAGCATCCAGAAGTATTCTGCAAAGCCAGAGTGTTTTTGTTTTTTTAACTGTAGTTTTCTTCACCCCAAGCTCACATGTAACGGCCATCAGCTTCTGAGAAGTGCCCATCCCTCCCATTAAGTCACAAAACGAATGTCAATCCCTGCCCAGTCTTCTACTTGAGTGCCCATCTGTAGCGACAGTGCACTTCCCCCTTCCATCTGTTTTTTTTTTTATGGAAGTGTACCAGTGGTCACCGAAGAGTAACCAGAAGGACCACCCAATGATCAGAACCACATTATGCAAAAGCAAAGAGCCCAGAAGGCACCGAGCTGCCTGCAGACATGCGGAAACAGCTGTGTATTGGTTTACATGAGTGTCTTTTTCATTATGGAACTCAGAACTGAGATCAGATTTACAAGAAAAGAATTGACAGATTACACAAGATTCTTTTTCCCAAGCTTTTTACATCAGTGTAATCAAGATGAGCAAGATAAGCAATTGAATCAAGTCTGATTTTCAAGAACCAACACTCAGTGGAAGAAATCAGTTCTTTGTGCAGATTTTTGGGCTGTGCCATAAAACTTGCAATTCTGAGATTATCATAAGATTGCTAAGTCTGGAAGAGACCTCTAAGATCACAGAACCCAACCATCAGCCCATCCCCACCATAACACTGCCCACATCCCTCACTGCCATTGCTACATATTTCCTAAACACCTCCAGAGATGGTGATTCCACCACCTCTCTGGGCAGCCCGTGCCTCACCACGATTTTTCCTACTACCTAGTAACAGTCTGCCTTCACTTGAACATCCATAAAAAAAAACGTACAGAAATTGTTCATTCGGGGCTTTAAACAAGCCCTGCTTATCACACACTCGTGCCTTTCCGTTAACACCCAACGGAAAGCGGCTTTAGACACAGGAACGCCCACACCGACGCTCAGCACCACCGCACTATCCCCGAGACCGCACGGCGGGGGGGCGGAACGGCAACCCCCCCGCCCTGCCCCGGGGGCCCCGCACAGGGCTCTGCGCACGGCCGCGGACTCCGTACGGGGTGGCGCTGCGGCCACGGCGAGGCGGAGCCTCCGGCGCTCATTCATTCCGTGCCCGGCGGCCGCCGGCACACAACAACGGGGGGGCGGGGGCTCCGCGCTTTGCCCGCGCACTCTTCCCTCCTCAGGAAAGGAGGATCCGGCGTCCTCCAGCCCGCTCACCTGCTGAGAACCTGCTCGTGCTCGGCGCGCAATTTGCCCAGCTCGATTTGCAGCTTGGCCCGCTCCCTCGCCGTGTCGTCCAGCGTCTTACGTGCGTCGGCCAGCTCCGTCTCGAAAAGCTCCTTCAAGCCGCTGATCTCGCGGCCGCATACCTGCTCCCGCTCGGAGACGCGCCGCTGCAGCGCGCTGTTCTCCGTCTCCAGGCTGCGCACCTTATCTATGTAGACGGCCAGCCGGTCGTTCAGCTGCCGCAGTTCCTCCTTCTCCTGCAGCCTCGAGATGCGCGTGGGGCTCAGCGCTGCGCCGCCCGCAGCGCCCCGGGGCTGCGGCGACAGCGGTGCGGCTGCTGCCGCCATGGAGTACGGGGCGTTGGGATGAGAACGCGAGAGGGCTGAGCAGAAGAAGAGCGCCGAGCGGGAGGAGACGGGGAACGGGCGGCCGCGTGCGGTAGCCGAAAGGTTCTTAGCGCACAGCAGCAACCGCGAGCGACCCTACGCCCTCGAGGGCCCCCTGCAATATGGCCGGCTCCACTTCTCTGCTTCCCCCCCATCCTGTAACACTGCGTCACGTGGCGAGTTCTCAGCCAATAATATGCTGAGGACGGCCGCGCGCCTCGGGCTTTGTAGGCGGGGGCGCGATTCGAATCCCGCCGCCGCCGACATATAGATGAGCCCGCGCGCCAGTGAGGTCCCGCCCCACCCGCTGCGCTAAGGATCGGAACGCCCTGCATCGCGCCATCCTTTGTTGTGGCGCTGAGGGAAGGAATCCCCGTGCTACTCTGCTCCCCGCCTGTTTGCTTTTCCCGATAGCGTGGAAGCTGTGAGCTGTGATTTAAAAACAGCACTCAAGCCGATGCCTAGTTTTATCTGTCTCCTCGCATTGTAATACTCAAAGTGTGTAAGTCGGGTTCAGCTCAGTCTAGGTGTTAGTATTAGTGTGTGGATGTTCCGTATCTGGAATTTGCCTGGCTGTTGAAGGTTGTTGTGAGGGGGATGTTGTGTCCATAGTCACCAGTTGACCCTACACTCCTCAGGAAACGGCCACATTCTTCACATTACAGTATAATAGATCAAACAGCCAGATTCCTCACTGTGAGTTTGACCTGGAAATCTGATTTGTGGCTTAAAAAGCAGCAGCACCTGTTTGTAAAGGGTTAAGCAGGCTGTATCTGTCACTTTACACGTTGTCCTCTGGGCATCACCTGCAAGACATTAGAGAATAAAAAGTGGAAAGAGAAACACAGCTAAAATGATCGATTGTTTCACAGCCCCGAGTGTCCTTCTGACATAAATCACAGAAGAAAGAGCCTGTCTGCAGGAAAACTCCGTACACTTCTCTTATCGAGGTTCCCCACAGCTGTTGAAGGGAGTTCCTTAGAGCGAGCTAAGGCTGGATCTGGAAAGACAGCAGTTTCCCATCAAGGATGTGAGGTTGGCCTGACTCAAATGCTTGTTTCTAGACACTCATCCTCAGTTCAGTTGTCTTAGCAAAATAGTTCCTGTGGATTATAACTGTGAAGAGATATCTCTTCAAGGAAGCAAATACAATCCAGCCACGGGGGCTTTTGACTAGAGGCAAATTGGTGGTGGTGGAGCTCCCTGCCCATGCCATGCCTTTGTTAATACAGAGTTGCAGACTGTGTTCCTTCTTCCTCGGCCTGTTATTACAATCTGCTCTTTTCCAGCCAGCTGGAAGATAGAGCAGGCTACAAAGAGTAACAGCAGCTGGGAGAAAAAAAAGAAAATGGTATTCCATCTCTATAGCACCTGCTATAGCATAAAATTGTCAGCGAACCAGGATTATAGCCCACGGTAGGTTTCCACTGCAGCTGGCACTAGGGTGAAAGGGTCTGTGTTCACAAGCAGTACGAGTCAAACAGAAATTGGGATACTTATGTTCAGACTGAGCTCTCTGCAGGTGTTAATGCTGACTACGTCTACTTTCAGGTCTTCAGTCATCCAGTTTTCATTTCATTTTAAAGACATGTTACTACTCGTCCACCCTCACCCCCTCCCTTTGTTTTGCAGCTATTGCACTTGAAGTGAAGCATATTGTTTTTGCTGAAGGAGCTACAGATGTTTTTCATTTTGTCTCTCAAATTTTAAGGACATATTCAAACACAACTAAAATTCTCTGCTGTTTTTTTTTTGTTTGTTTGTTTTTTGTTTTTTGTTCTTTGTTTTTTTTTTTTTCTCAGCTGAAATCTCTTCCTGCTGTAGGTGTGATTGAATTCATTTTGTTCCGGTTATGCTGAAACACAAAATAAGAACAGAAGCGCATGTATTACCATGCTCTGGCTAATGTCAGACATTTTACTTGTGAAATTGCATATCAGTGTTGTTCCTCTTTGCTTTGGCAATTCGGGCCTGATAGGAGCGGTGTGCTTCCTTTGTGTCGAAGAGCCAATAAGTGCCATTATTAAGCCAGCCAGAGGCGTCAGTGCTCACAGACAGGCACAAACAGCCGTGTAGCACTGAGCGTTGACACTCCCATGCTCCAGACTGCTGCCCCAGGGAATCAGGAATGTTTTCTCAACCTCAAAACAAAGGGAAAGCAAAATGGAGGAATGTGTTGTTTACTCATATGGCTTACAACTTGACTCAAGACTATTTCAGCTTATTAAAACTCTGACTGGCTTTGCAACTTTTAGGACTGAACTGTGAGCTACCTCCTAGAATTTTAACACAGCTTCCAAATACCACCACAGCCACAGTCTGACAGATTTATGGTTGGCATAAATTGTATACATCAGTATACACTTGGATGTATTTGATACTCAGAGCAAGCTATACTACATTTAGACCTCTCTCCTCTGTTAGTGGGAGGTATTTTACTGGTACAATATTCCATTTGCTCCTTTCTTTTTAAATCAGTATCAGCTTTCGAACATGCAGCGTTTAACAGCAAAGTTTTTATTTGTACACTGATTGAAATAAAGAACATTCTAGAATCTGGGCAAGTATGTGGCAGATTAGTGTAGAGTCCATGATTCCTAGAAAATAAGACATTTTTACTGTTACTGACATAATATTGCTAAAACATTTATTTTTATATGAATGTAATGATTAGCATTTATGCTTTATTTCCTTGTGAATTGGGCAAGAATTATGTTGAACATATTCTGCAGGTGTGTCAGTGCTACATAAATAAATGATACTTCAGGGATGTAAATATGACTCAGGAAACTGATAAATATTTGAATCTTTAACCTGAATTTTTCACTGAAACATTGTCTATTTGTTTCCGCTCAGAAGCAAAGAAGAGACCAACAGAGTAAATACCACAATTTGTGCTTTGAAGAAACAGAGGAAAGGAGCAAAGATTTGGTATCAAAACAAAAAGTTAAAAAAAAAATAAATGTTACAGCACTCCTAGATGTAGCAAGTCTCTTGCAGGCAGCCTCATCAAGTGCCAGGTAAATGAACTTGACCAAGTATTTTCATAACCCCAAAGCACAAAGTATATTTGTACGTTTGCGAATATTCTATCAGGATCTGATCCCAAGTGCAATTAACTTTACATTTCAGTGCTGAATAAACTTTCCTTCAGGAGATTATTCTTCCCCCCCTCCCTCCCTCCCCATATCATTTATGCTTCACAAATATTGTAATATTTAATTCTGACAAGTCCATAGAAATGTTAATTTCTTTGCTTATCAAGTACTGGCTAAGAAACAAAATCTTGTTTTTCCTGGAAATACTGGGGGATAGGGAGTGGAGACAGGCAGGGTATGAATATGTCTACAGCTGTTCCGAAAGACAGCAAAATCTGGAGACTCCTCACATCAGCAGATGGGATAATAGTAACACTCCTCGCTTTTTTGGCTTCAGTAGTGCAAAACTGATGCCAGGTAGATATCCGTAAGTTCTGCATGGTACATGTGTTTCTAATTACTGCTCTGTATTTTAATAACTCATGTATGATTACATTACTGTTAATATGTTCCCTTCCTTAGGCGAGGGGAGTTGCCTAAGAATTACTTCAAAATGTAAAAATTTCACACAGTACCTAACTGGGATTTGAACAGAGTTCTTATATTTCCTGCACACAAGTGAAGCACAAAAAATCTTCTAGGAATTTTTATTTTTAAATTTTATTGTTCAAGGTACTATAGAAATTTTTGTTTGTTTGTTTGTTTGTTTCTGCAGAATCTCTCACATTGAATGTTTTGTTAGAATACTTTATTTTGTGTACTGTGGGATCTCCTCCTCCAGGAGAAGCTACCACAGCATAAAAAATATTTGGGCTGCAGCCTCTCTGTATCTGCATGCCTATGGCTCAATCTAAGATCAATGAGAGCAGGGAGGAGAAAGGAATGTAGCCTGAAGCAGCAGTAAAGGAAAGACAGAAGCAAAAAGAATGTTGCAAGAACTGTAGAGCTCCTCAGTATCCATTATACAAATCACCACTGTTCATTTTGCCTTACGTAATCAGGTTCTAGAATTTTCAAGGCAGGGAAAATCAGATTGGGATGCATGCTTAAAGAAATTGATGCATGGTGGCAGTAGATTTTGTCTGGGATAATGTCCAGGGAGTATTCTACACCTCTCTACCCATTTGCTGAAGTACACAAATACACATAAAATAGATGTAGTGATATTGCTGTTAGTCCTAGCCGAAGTCACTTCCCACAGTGATTGCAAAACCCAAAGGAGAGAGAAAGAAACTGCAGATGGTGAAGGAGAAGCAGGAACTGATAATTATGTAGCTCCACACAAAATAGAAGATCAGGCTCGTGTAAGGAAAGACTTCTGTGCAAAACTTTATAGGTTGCATTTCCACAGAACACATGAGCAGCTATAAAATAATTTGGAGTATATCTCCTTGCTGATAGTATTTCAGTTGGTACAGATGGCTTATGCTCATATAAAAATAACGGTCTTCAGCAAGAACTTTTTGCTGAAAAATTATGGTATTAATCATATTAACACTTGAGAGAAAGTTGCTGTGGCTGGTGACAAAACAACTCCAATTCACTTTGCAAAGACACTGATTAAGGGAACACATTAATTGTTGGCAATTTCTGCAATTCTCATCTTGGTTTTATAAAACTGCTTACTTTTTCTTTCCAAATGCTTGCTGTATGTATTCCTCTGATAAATCACAACTCAAAGTTTTAGTTGAAAGATGCTTGTCCTTTTAGCAGTGGAGGAAAAGAAATGCTGGATGTGTAAGTTAGTACAAAATTAAACATGTTAATTAAAGAAAATTAAATATTTAACTATAAATTACTACCTGAGAGATGACAGTGGGCATAGTGAGTTTCCTGGTTTCTGTGCACTGATGTGACCTCTCATGTGATTGATCTGTTCCACATCTCTGAGCAAGTTTAGTGATGAATTTCAGAAAAGTGGAT